ATGCGATGTGATGTACTTCCCAGTACATCACATCAGGGGCACGGTAACGTCAGTTTGTTTTATTTTTGGTGACGCTAAGTTGGGTCAGTCCGTTAGGGTTTTGCCAATCTCTCCGTTATTGGAATTAATAAGGAACCTGTAACTCTCAGACCATATGAATATCCTGTGAAACCTTTTAGCCCATGGTTTGAACATCCATTGGCGATCTTTTCCCATATTAGGAATTTATAAAATCGCGATTTTCTAACTTTTGTCGTTTTATCATTCCTTTTCCATTTATTAGTTGACAGTGTTTTACAGAGAAGAGCTTTCTGTTATCTATCCCTGCCCTCCTTCCTCCTCTAGTAGCAGACTCGTGGATTTAAAAATTACGTATTTGATATGCTATTTTCCGTCACCATCATTATATGCCCCAGAGTTTTCTTATTTCCGTGACTGTATTTGCTTTTCAGAGTTGCCCATTCTTTTCTCAGAGTGTCTGTTTCTTTTCACATGATTTCCATTCCTTTCTTAAAAAGTTCCCCTACTCTCTCTAATTACAGCCTCTTTTAGATTGCTGTTCTATTATCTCAAGTTCTTAGGAATCCTACTTACTGTGTCAGTTGGCTTTCACTTACGGTGGATCGTTTTCTCACATACTTAACAGTTTTTTGTTTTGAGCATATTTTCAGTGGGACTTAAAAAAAAAAACAACTCTCCCTCCCCCGGGGAATCTTGTGTGACCTGCTCTGTAGAAGTGCCCCTCCAGATGATTTTACATGGCTTGAGTTAAGGTGTGCTGGCATATCACTGGCTCGGGAAAATTTTATGTAAATTTCTTATGTTCTGGTTTCTTGTGCTGTATGCGTGGGGTCAATTCACACTGGCTTCAGTGTTTCCATCAAATAGAATATATAGTAAGTGATCAATATCTTTCTTCTCATGGAATATCTTTCTTTTGTAATCATAACTAATTTAGCCAAGTATCCAGTACCAAAGACAGAGGAAGGAGCATCTCCTTGTCTGATTTTAATGCTGAGAGCTGGTGAACTATTCTGAGTGTTGGGTGTGTAAGCAGTTGAGCATCTTCAAGAATAACGGGTCCCAGGCACGTCGGTCCTCTCAGAGCCCCCGCACCTGGTCATGTTCCACAGCGAGTGGTCTTGCTCAGGCTTTCCCCAAGGTACACATGAGGCACCTGATACCCACAGAGGTAGGTGACTTGCCTAAGGTCACTCAGAGTCGGGGGGATCAGAGGCAAGAACTCTGGTCTCTGAGTGGCTCTTTCTACCCACCCGAAACCCAGTTATCCAGGGATTGAGTCCTGGCCCTACGTAGCCCCCGACACCTGCGATGCCCTGGCCCTTGCCCCTCCCTTGGGGGCACGAAGAGGAGCTTGGCTGGGAGGTGGAGACCTCAGACCCAGCGGGCAAGCGCGTGTTTACAGCCTGGCTCCCGAGGATTTATTAGATGCGTACTTTGACACATGCCTCCAGGTTATATGCACAATCGCATTTTTAAAAAGTGTTTTGAATCCTTGATTTATCTTTTTGTCATTGTTTTTCATAATAGTTTTCACTCAAAGGCAAGAACATGCTTTTAAACTGACCTTTTAAACTTTGTAATGCTTATGCCACAAAGGGACACATAAAAGGAACAATAGGGCATTCCCTAAGTGTGAGCATTACTGAAGTCTCCTCTGGTGAAGAGATCTATGGGAAACGGCACAAAGCATCTGAGCTGGGCTCTCGCAGCTGATGGATGGCCTCAGGGTGGACGTCTCATGACCGGGAAGAGGCCCAGCTGTACCCTACACAGCAGGAACATCATCCCCGCCCCCTCCTCACTGCTCGTGGCCATCCGCGTGCCCCTGCGGCTTTGCCCTTGGGAGCCAAGGGGACAACTTGGGAGGTTTGGACTTTGTCTCCTGGTCCACAGGAAGCCATGGAGGGTTCTGGGTAGGGAAAGGAAGCATAAAGTAGAAAAAAGAGCAACACAGAGCATTTGGAGCCAGGGGCCTGGGTTTGAGCCCTGGCTCCGGCACTTCTAAGCTGTGTGACCCGTGTGAGTCACCTAGCTTGTGTGAGGGTCACTCTGGTATTGGCACCCATGTATGGAGCAGTGGCTAGGTGCTGGGCACGCAGGGTACAGAGGCAGTCAAGGGAACCTCACAGTCCTTTGTTCCTCCGTGATTGTTTCTCTTACTGTGTGTATGTTTCCCATGGCTGCTACAACAAATTACCACAGTTTAGTGACTTAAAACAACATGAATGTATTATCTCACTGTTCTGGAAGACTGAAGTCTGAAATCAATTCCACTGGGCTGCAGTCAAGGTGTTGGCAGGGCCCGTCCTTTAACAACTGGAATCTGTTTCCTTGCCTTTTTCAGCTTCCAGTGACCACCCGCATTTCTTGGCTTGAGGCCCCTTCTTCTGTCCTCAAAGTGCATCACTTCAACCTCCGTTTCCATCGTCATCCTACCTCTCTTCTTCTGTGTCAGATCTCCTTCTGCCTCCCTCCTATAGGGACACTTGTGATTAGGTCGCCCCCACCCGGATAATCCAGGCTACTTTCTTCCACTTCAAGATCTTTAACTTAATCTCATTTGCAAAGTTCTTTTCGCCATGTAAGGTACCATTTTCCATTTCCAGGGATTAGGATGCAGGTATCTTTGGGGACCATTATCCAGCCTACCACAGCATGTCATAGTGCAATTTATGTCTGTTTATTGTACGCAACTGGGTCTCCCTGGGGCAGGGAGACAGCCCTGCTGGACAGCTGCCCCATGTTTGCTAAGTGAGTGAAGAAATGAATGAATGCATGCTTCGCATTTGAGAGGAAGGTAACGTTCCAACGGGGCTGGAGAGGATGAGTGTGAGCTTGCCAAGCGATATTCTAGGTGGAGTGAACAGCTTGTGAAACGGTGTGGAGGCGTGGGCTGAGAAGTTAGCGTGGAGGACATGCAGGTGGAGTGGGAGAGTGCAGAGGGAGGTGATGCTGGGCTGGTAGGTAGCTAGGCCACAGGCAGCGCGGAGGACACACTAATGGGCTTGGGTTTTGCCTTATGAGGAAGCAGTGTATGTCATGGTTGCTGCCATTATCTTCGGAGTCATTGCTTAGGTTCCGATCCCTGTGCTGCCACTTATATGCTGTGTAACTCTGGGGAAATTACTGGACCTCTCTGAGACCCAGTGCCCTGACTACTTCCTAAGGCTCTTTTGAGGAGCAGATGACTTTTGATGCTTGCAAAGCACTTAACACAGTGCCTGCAACAGTCAAAGGAATCAGAAAGTATTTGCCGCTATAATTGCCATCATTTTTTATAAATAGGATGTCTCTTGTTGATGACGATGTTGGGGAACCTTTGAAGAATTTCGGCCAGGCTGTGGCATGGTCAGATTTGCTTTCTAGAGAGATGCCTTTGACACTCGTGTGAAGATGTGGGGACCAGCACGGGGTGGGGCATCACACGGGGGGTCAGGAAACCAGTTAGGGGGCTGTGAGAATGATCTGGGTGAGAGACGAAGAGGCAGAGAGCAGAGATGGGTCCAAGAGAGATGTTGTTGCCATCAGGGTGTTCCAGAGATGTCTTTTCTGCTGATGTTCCCAGCTCAGAATGGTGCAAGGTGGCTTTTAGAGACCATCTAGCACCTGCGCCTCAGTCCTTGCTTTTCAGACACCTTGCCTTAGTCTCTGGGTGAAATAGTGACACAGGGGATAGAAGGCAGCGGACTCAGGTCCTCGGCTTCAGTGGCAGTGAGGACGGGGGTGGGGCGAGGTGTGGCTGGCTGGTGGAGCTTTCTGATGAAAGCACACTCCTTATTGCTGGGCCCTGGGGAGGGGGGCACAGTGTCTGTGTGCCCCCCCCATCCTCCTGCTGCCCCTCTGTGCCTTAGCTCCCCTTTCCAGCTTGTTCTCTCACCATTCCCCACAAGAACACTTGCAGCATCCTGGTAGCCTAGGGGCGTAGGAATTTTGTGGCTCTGAGTTGAGGAAAATGGGCTCAGCTGCGTGGGGGAGGATGAGGGGCTGCCTGGGAGGCGGGTGGAGGAGCTCTGTGTTCCAGCGCCAGAGGAAGAAACCCGGAGTCTAGAGCAGGACGTGCTCAGGGATTCGGTACTGCGCGTCCTCCGTGGTCTTCCACTCACGCCCCTTCATACATCTTCAGGAGGAAGCCAATTCAATAGAACCTACCGTGGCAAGATTATGATTGTTACTTCAATCATATCTTAGCCTGCAAGGATGTTGGAGGAAAATATATTTCAATGCCACGTTCAAAAGAGCTGTCATTTTTAACATTGTAAATGGATTTTTCAAGGGGGTGATGTAATGTTGTTATTTTTAATACATTCTTTTTAAAAAGTGATTTTACTTCAGTTCAGATCGATGCATGCTGGAGGGGAAAAAAGATCCAAAGAGACCTGAAATACAGGTGGGCCATTTAAAGAAAGCTCTGTGTGCACATCTCTGAATTTACAAGTCAGGATCACAGTATGTATTCTTCGGTGCATTCCTGAGGTTTCTGATAAATGGCTGCTGATAGCTTTACAAGAAAGCTGGGAGAAAGGAGACAGACAAAAAAATGAGATAAGAAAATCTGTGCAGTGATTGCAGGAACGTGATGTGCCTGTGTGTGCGCGCACGTGCACGTGTGAATGTGTTTTCCAGCAGTATTACAGCGGCATCAGCAAATTAGCTTGCATTCGGTTCTCGGGAAGTGTCAAACTACAGGGTCCATCGACCTATATTGGTTGGTGTGTGTGTGTGTGTGTGTGTGTGTGTGTGTGTGTGTGTGTGTACAGAATTGAAAAGTGCCCCAGAGGTGATTTGGTCCCATCTGATACGGAACCTGTGGCTCGGTGAGGGAGAGTGCTGGTGCAAGGCATACGCAGAACCGGGCCAGAGCTGGAGAGAACCCGCCTCCTGAAGCCCCGTCCAGTACTGCTCCCACCCTTCTCCGCTGTTTGCATCTCTCTGTCATTCTCCCATGGTGCACTGACATTTCCTTTCTTTATTTCCAGGAGTCATCAGTTACCAGCATCCAATAAGGTCGACGGTGAGCTCGCTGTGCTGCAGCTTGGTGGGTACCACTGGGGCCTCTGTGCTGTGCCCATCAGGGCCCAGGGGGTCTTCATTTGGTCTGCCTGGGAGGTAATGGGTGGTAGCGCTCTCTGCTGGCCTGGGGGTGGGTCTCCTTTCTTCCCACCTGACCTCAGGAAGGAGGGGCTGGCCCGATGAGTAGAGCAGGCTTCTCTCTTTTTTGGTTGATGTCCAAATCCGTCTTCCACTGCCTGTCTCTCCCGAAGAAGTCCTTATAAGAAGTCTGGACATTTCTACATCCACACTGGGAGAGAGGGGGCAGAAAAGCCTTTTCTGCATTTGCAGGTTCTTTTAGGGTTACTCAGAACCTATAGAAGTCTCGAGAAGACAGTGCTCAGTCAAAATATTAGTATATCTCTGCCTGGAGAAGCCTATCCTTTACACATCTTCCCCCACATATCACTGAGGTGTAAAATACAAATCGTGAGGCGCATCAGTGCACAAACCTTTAGTGTTCAGCTCAGTGCCCTTTCACATGTGTATACATCTGTGTACCTCCTCTGCAAGATCTAGATAAGAACATGTCCATCCACTCTTTCGTTTTGAAGCCATCTTTTTTTTTTTTTCTCTCTTTCTGGAATTCTCTACTCCCCAAAGACTGATGTGTTTGCAGGACTTGGCAAAAGCCAAGAATAGAATAAAGGAGGACAACCAAGGACCAAACATGAAAGGACGAGGCTTGAGTGCCATTGACCTTTGCTCTCCTCCTGGAAGCCAGCAATTTACCTGTTGGACCATTTTGGCGTACAGGAGCTGAGAGCTGCTCACACCCTTTTCGTCTCCTTTTAAGCACTCCCTTTAATATGAAGGAGGAAAGCAGCTCGCCCTTTGGAAGTGACTTGTGTGAGACATGCTGACAGTTTGCTTTGATGAAGTTGAAAGGCAGGGGCAGGCCTCCGAATGATGGAGGCAGGGGTTTGTTTATTCTGCTTAGTTCTTCTCAGAGGTAAGAGGAGTTCCTCAGAGGTTTGTTTTTTTTTGTTTTCTGTTTTTTTATTTTTGTCTGCGTTGGGTCTTCGTTGCTGCGCACAGGCTTTCTCTAGTTGCGGCGAGCGGGGGCTACTCTTTGTTGCACTGTGCGGGCTTCTCATTGCGGTGGCTTCTCTTGTTGCGGAGAAGCCACGGGCTCTAGGCGCGCGGGCTTCAGTAGTTGTGGCGCACGGACTCAGTAGTTATGGCTCACAGGCTCTAGAGCGCAGGCTCAGTAGTTGTGGCTCACGGGCTTAGTTGCTCCATGGCATGTGGGATCTTCCTGGACCAGGGCTTGAACCCGTGTCCCCTGCATTGGCTGCACCACCAGGGAAGCCCCCTCAGAGTTTTAATCATCAGAAATGGCTGGTGGGATCATTTGGCCCACCCAGGAAGGGGCAGATTTCACTGGGCACACGGCTGTGCAGAATGAAGGCCGGAGCCGGGAAGGGCGGGCATCTGAAGCCTTTCTGTGAAGCGCTTTAAGATTTTCTAATGAAAGCCACTCCTGTTTGGACATAAAGTTCCCGGCCTTGGGACCCCAGAGGGCTTCTATTGGGAGGAAGGCTTTTAGCGATTCTCTCAGAACCAAGCTGTTTGAAGTGTGTGTGCCTTTTCCGGAGGGAGGCCGACCCCTCTTTGCTGGTGGCTCAGCTGACGATTTAGAGAAGAAGATGGAGATAAAAGATAAGAGGGCGTGCAACCCAGTCACCCAGAGAAAGGGGAAGAGTAGTTTGGGGTGGGGGGTCAGAAACAAGGAATAGCATTCCCTTCCCCATCCCAACTCATCTTTCTTTGGTTCAAGTCAGCAAACTTTGGTTAGCATTACATGCCTGGGCACATACAGGGCTGTCAAAGGCACTTTTCATCGCTGTGATGAAAAGTGGCCTTGCCTTCTTGGAGGGTGGGGCTGGGTGAGACGAAGGAATAGAGGTGACCCCTGATAGCAACACACAAAGTGGATGACCAGCAGCTCCTCACTGCTTCAGGAGGTGAGTAGGCCAAGACTGTGGTGGGTTCCAGAAGTATCCATAGTGAGGTGGCATTTAGACTGGGCTTGACGGATGAGCAAGGTCTTGTCAAGCAGAGATGTGAGGCGAACGACGTTTGAGGCCATCTCTGGATGTGCGTGGAGGATGGATTTTAGGGCCAGGAGTCTGCACGTTTGGGAGACTGGTGAGGGTCTCTTGGAATAGTTCCAGAGAAGAGGTGCCTGGGGCCCTGTTCTATCTGGGGAAATCCTATGGGTACTTCAAGACCCTGATCAAATATTTACCTCTTGTGGGAAGCTTCCCTGACCGTTTAAGGCAGAATTATTTGCCTCTTCCCCTCTGCTCTTATAACCTTTGCACCCGTCTCCATTTTAGCACTAACGTCGTGTTCTTAGGCAGTGAGCTCCTTGAAGGCAGGCGTGGTGTTTTCACCATCTCTGGACCTCCTCCGACCCACATGACCAGTGGCACGTCATGCGTGCTCAGTAAAGTGCTTGATGAACGAATAGAAAAATGACAACACGTTCCTGTAACAGTGGGGAGAGAAGGGGGGCAGCGTATGAGGGTTCTGGAGGCGGTATAATCTGGAGGCTGGAGCAGCGTGGCGTGTGGGAGAGGGTTGAGGTTTTGGCCTGGGTCCCTGGTGGAGGGTTGGGGAGATGGAGTCTTATCAAAATGGAAGCCTGGAAGGCTTCTGTGCTGAGAACCCTGAGTCCGGGGCATTGGGGCACTTCCAGGAGAAGATATCTTGCAGTTAGTGTGAAGTACTGGGTGGGAGCTTGGAAACAGAGATATACGGGCCTCTATTAAGTACTACCAAGTATATGTATATGTTTTCCTCCAAAGGGTAAATAAAATGGTATGGGAAACAAAATCCCTTGCTTCTTTTCAACCAGGCATTTACACCAGGGCCTTAAAAATAGCATTTTCAAGCCACTGGCGTTTGCAGCTGGTTTTATCTGTTTGGCCAACATGTCATGCTGGAGTGCTTTGTTTTCCTTTGCACGGCCATCCCGCCACATCTGGACCTGCCTCATGGTCCTGAACCAGCTCCCTGCACAGGCGCCAGCTGCCTCCTGGCAGAAGCCGAGGGAGGCTGCCTGTTCCTGGGGGCTCCATCAGTCAGCCCCCTTTGGGCCCCCAGCCTCCAGCCTCAGACTTAGTTCATGGGGCTCAAACAGAGCATGTTTCAGCCCTGGTTCCCTTCAGGACAGCCTTAGACCTAAACAGAAGCCTCCAAATAGGCTTAAATCCTGCCCGCTCTGGGCCTCCAGGAAACAGTCTGGCTGAGGCATCACAAGGACCCTTCAGGGCCTGGCAGAATCACTCAGTTACTCTCCCCCTCTGTTTCGGCCCTCAGATGCCTAGGATTGGATTAATCACACATCTCTGTTGCTTAATTAACATTCTCAGTATTGACCTTTGCAGAGCCTGCTCATTGGCCTCCCTCTTGCCTTTCCTTCCTGATTTCCCTTTAGCCTCATGCTACACTCCCATGAGCCTTGTCTCCGTAAGCAGCCACTCTCACGTATTTAGTGGCTTCTTTCTGCTTGTGTGTGTTCTTGCAAAAATCCTTAGTGTTGTTTTGTGTGCATGTGTTTATAATGGATGTAAATCGTGTTGTGTTATACATCCCATTTGCTTTCTTACTTTCGCTACCCAGAGCCATGTTTTCAACACCCGTGTGTGTTGCTGGGTGAACATCTGGTCTTTATTTCAGGTGTTTTTGTAAGGCCATGGTCACAGGGTGGCTTCTTTAGAGACCCTAACTAAGAAAGGTTCTCATTTAAATTCCAGACTTGTTTAAAAATTTTGCTTCACCCTGAAGGTAAAATCTGTCTCCATCTCAGTGGACCGAGCCTCGTGCTGTGCCTGGTCCTCCTCCAGGGGGGAAAAGGAGGCTGTAGAATAAGATTTATAGCACGTGTTCTGGGGATGTTGGCCTTTGCACACCGTCTCAGAAGATGCGGGGCAGGGACTGTGACGTTTCTGTAGTCCCAGATGCACAGAATTATGGCAGGCAATGTTGGTTTCTATACAGCGTGGCGTGCTTTTTAAATAAGCCTTCAATCTTGGGGAAAGGGGGATGGAAAAAGTCTCCAGAGGCTCTCTGGAGACCGGCCTGCCCAGCTTTGCCAGCATCGTTGCCTTGGGCTGTTTTCACTTGGGTCCTGCATCTGAGGGTTCTGGCGGATGCTGCGGCAGTGCGTATGGTGGCGAGAGGGAGCCTCACCGGCCGGGAAGGCACAGGCTGATGCTGACAACACCCACGCTGGGACCCTCTCTGGGCCTCAGTCACCCCAGCTATGAGAATGTGACTTAGTTTCCCTTCTGGCTGGAGGTCCAGGGAGGTCTGACTGGCAGGATGGCCGAGCAATTAGGAGTTGGCCTGGGTTTATGTTCTATCTCTGCAGCTTTCCATCTGTGTGACTTTTGGTCAGTTACTTAACTTCTCTAAGCTTCAGTTTCCTCATCTTTAAATGGGGTGATGATACTCTCTCGTGGAAGCTGTTCTGGGGCTTAGATGATAAAACACAGATGGTAAGTAAATGAAAACCATGATAGTGATAATCTATTATAACTATTATTATTCTCGCAGGAAGGGCGGCATTTTCTTTCCCGATTCCGCCCTCTTCATGTTTGTCCTCAGGGGGACAGATCTGTGGGTCACGCCCACCTTTCGTAAGAATTGTGTCTGAGCCAAGCTTTTCTGGGCCTGACTCGCAGCTTAGGCCTAGGCCCTTGTTTCTGCATGTCCACGAGCAGAGCTTTCTAGTGGACTGATAGCCAGGTCCCATCTGCCAGCATCCTGGGACCAGCGTGGGGTGACACGGAGCAAGGGCTCTCACTCTGCCTTTCTCCTTCTGATGAAGGCTTGGGAGCCTCAGCAGGGACAGGGGGTGGGTGGTGGAGGAGCCCTCCTCTCATTCCAGCCACCTCAAGACTCATCAGTGTCCTGAGTGTTAAATGGCTTCCTAGTCTGTTCTCTGTGAGTCATAACAAGGAGCTCACGTGGCCACGGTTGTCTTTCAGAGGATGTGGAGGATGAATTGCCAAGGGAAGAAGTCATCCTGTCTCCAGTGCCATCGATACTCAAGCTGCAAGTAGAGTCGAAGCCCATCGACCTCTCAGTGGCAAAGGTGGGTGTCAGTTGAAAAGTGCCAGGTGATGTGTCTGGATTTGAGTTGGTGTGAATTGAAGGCATCTGGGTTTGAGTTGGTGTGGATGAGGTGATTTTCTTTCTTTCTTTTTTTTTTTTTTTTTTTGTGGTACGCGGGCCTCTCACTGCCATGGCCTCTCCCGTTGCGGAGCACAGGCTCCGGACGCGCAGGGCCAGCGGCCATGGCTCACGGGCCCAGCTGCCCCGCGGCATGTGGGATCCGGGGCACGAACCCGTGTCCCCTGCATCAGCAGGCGGACTCTCAACCACTGCGCCACCAGGGAAGCCCGATGAGGTGATTTTCATCTCTCTGGCTCCATTCATCCTGTTATAAAATCTCTCAGTCACTGTTAAAAAGGAAATTTGCATGTGATGTGGAAGAAAACCTGAACGGAGAGTCAGGAAAACAAGGGCCTAGTCCTGGCATCTCCCTCTCCTTCTCTGAGACAAGAGGTGAGGATACAACCTCCTCCCATTCAAACATTCCGGAATCCAGCTTTTCTGTTGGTCCAGAGCTCTGCTTCACCATGTCCGCAACCGGTAACTCCAGGGTTGCGATGGGAACGGGATAATTGTCCTCATTAGCTTGACTGTGCTCCTGCACTGGTCCCCCGAGCTGGGCTCAGGCTGGGCTGCAGTGAGGGAAGGACAGGGAAGTGTTACCAATTCCTCAGCGCCACCTGGGCTCACACCAGTGACCTCCTGGAGTCACAGGACTTCGGGAGCCGGTTCCTGGCCTGGCCTCAGCAGCCTCCTCTGTGGGGATGTCCTGGATTCCTCACCATCTCTGCTGCCATAGGGCCTCGCCCTTCTCCGTGGCCAGTGGTTCCTGTGGGATGGAATGCTGCCCCTGCTGTCCTCCACTGGCTTTTCAGCCAGGATCCAGGAGGGAAAAATAAAACTCCTGGGGACACAGCTGACCCTGTTCTCTTCCTGCTTACCAAGTATTTACTCAGCACGCAGATGAAAAGTCAAAGGTTTTTCTAGAGGTTTTGTCCCTCCCCATCCTTCTCCTCCTTTTCCCTTCCTTCTTTTGAAACCACAGGGAGAGGGTCAGACACGGTTAAGTAGCCCCAAGCCTGGGAGTAAGTGCTCTGGTTGTCTGTAGCCACAGGGCTATGATTCTTTGCAGTGGGTACCGCTATTTGGTGAAGGGTCCTCAGAGGCCTCTAAAGACCACCCAGTAGTAGCATCTCCAAAAGCAGCTGAAAAAAACCGAGGCCCACACAGAGAAAGGAGGACCCAGGACACGTGGTGTCCACAGCCACAGCAAGCAGGACCCAGGTTTCCAGGCTCGTAACCCTGTGACCTGGCAACCATACTGTGCCTAGCTGGGAGCTGTCATTCTGTGATTGAGAGAATAGACATGGGCTTCAGCCGGAAAACTCAAGGTCCTATCGTTTCTAGGCTCTTGGGAAACTCAGTCCAAATACATTGATGATCGTAGTTGGTGCAAGAAGGGGAACCAAGCCCTGACAGATGAATTTACCCACCCCTCTCTCCTGTGTGCCACTAGCCCACATGTGATGACGTGTAGACAAACGCTCTGTCACAGAGATTTTCCTTGTACTTAGTGAAAAGAAAAAAAAGAACCGATTCTAGAGGGAAACGTGAGTCTGTAGGAAAGATATGACCGGCAAAGAGACGGTCTGAGCGGGTAGTGACAGAATCCACGTGCTGGCCCTTCAGATACTCTCGGATGTAGAATCATGGCAGAGAGAGAAGAGGCAGCCGGCATGGGGAAGGGGCAAGTGGAGATGAGGCTCTGCTTTCCCATCCACGGGCTGGTCAGTGGGGAGGGGTTGGCACTTTCTGGGGCTCTGGAGGGTGAGGCTTGGGTTGATGGGAGATCCGTATCAGCCAGAAGTTTTGAGAACACAGAGCTGTGAAGAAATGGAGGGGCCGCCTTGGGAAGTGGTGGGAACCCTCTTCACTTGGTGGTTGGAGTGTTCAAGCCAAGTTTATGGGGGGAACCACTCTCCGGTCATGTTGCAGAGGAGATCCTTACATGTGGGAAGGGGTTGTACCAGTGTGGGGTTGGCAAACTTTTTCTGTAAAGGGCTACATAGTGTATTTTTGCCTCTCGGTGGCAACCACACAGCTCTGCCATTGTAATGTAAAAGAAAACACAGACAATATGTAAACAAATGGGCATTGCTGTGTTTCAATAAAACTTTATTTACAAAGCAAGTGGAGGGTCGGATTTGGCGTATGGGTCACAGTTTGCTAGAGCACCAGTTCTCAAACTTGGCTGTACGTTGGAATCGCCTGGGGAGCTTTTAATAGTACAGATACCAGCGTCCGACGCCCAGGGGTTCTGCTTTAGTTGGCCTGGCACGGGGCCTGAGCGTCAGGATTGTTCAGGGCTCTGTAGGTAATTATAATGTGCAGTCAAGAACCTCCAAGGTCTTTTGTAAAACTAAAATTTTGTGTATCAAGGAACTTCTAAGGAAGCTCAAAAGATTTTGGCCTGGGTCAGCACAGGCTGGTAAGGTTTACAGATATTTCAGAGGTAAGACCCTGAGGGTCCATTTTCTCTGTCCTCAAACATGAGAAGAATGGGTTTGCAAAATAAAAAGAAAACAGATTACCCTGCTAGAACTCAAGACCAGCTCCTGTGGGAATGCAAACACCCAGCAGTGTACTGTTGTTTGCTTTTAAAACAACCAATACAATTCTCTCTTCTTTTGACAGGACATAAAGACCATTCTGTTTGGTTCCAGCTTTTGCTGTTTCAACGAAGAATGGAAACTTCAGAGTTTTTCCTTTAACGACTCAGCATCATTAAAATATGGCATCGTGCAGAACAAGGCAGGTTGTTTTTAAGTGCCCCCGGGGACCCTGCTGTGGGCCCATCATGGACAGGGGCACACGTCCCCCAGTTTGGTAAATCCTGTGGGTGTTGCCTGCGCCAGCCCCTCATTTGCTGAGTTGTCACCCAGGGCAGGAACTTCACGTGTGGCTGGCAGAGCAGAGCGGGGCAACATGACCGCTGCCGTGAGGGGTGCATGATGCCGGAGGGGACAGGGAGCAGGAGGGGGGCCTGTGTCCGCTCAGGGGTACCAGAGAGGGTCCTTAAGCTAAGTACTGAGAGACGATTTTGCAGGTAGAGCTGGAGAAAGGATACTGGAGGCAGAGGGCAGCATGAACAAAGGGAGGCCGTGTGAAAATACAGGGACTGCAGGAAGGGGCAAAAGTACCAAGCGCGAGGACCAGAAGTGTGCGGGGAGGATATGATATAAGACAGAGAAATGGAGGTAGATTGTGGCAGGATTTGAACATGGCTTATACACAGTTGCCAAGATACGCATTTTCAGGGCCAGAAGATAACTGTAAAATCCGGCAGCTTATCCAGGTTCCGTTTCTCAAGCCCCAGGAGCCTCCCCCTGCCCCACACTGCCTGAGGAAGAACCCCAAGACCACCCACTTCTGCCCCTAACTTGGCCAAGTCAGCACACCTTCTTGCATCCCGAGTTCAAGGGCACCCACGGCCCCTGCTCTGACAGTCCTTGTACTTGTTGATGCCTACAGGGGTGAGCTCCTCAAGGAGCCCTCTCCCTCCAAGTCACACCTACTAGGTGCTGAGGCAGGCCACTGGCCGGGGAACAAGATTGCTTACACAAGCGGAGGCTGCCCAAGGGGCTCGCTTCTGGCTGAGATGGTCAGGGAAGCCTTCCTGGAGGAGGAGGCCTTTAGGATGGGCCTTGAAGGCTGGGTAGACAATTGACACCGTCAGCCTGTGGACACGGAAACATGTCTCTGGATGCCTGGACGCCCATGGTGACAGCCGCTGACGGGTTGTGAAGAGTCACTTTCCCCCCATCACACACCACAGACCTTGCTCCTTCCTCTAGCGATGGGCACCTGGGCCTCTGTCACCCCCTCTCTGTGACTCAGGGTCAGCACTTCACAGAAGTAGTCACCACGCAGGAGACCCCTGTTTGAGGCTCTGTAACCTGTTGGAGGAGGCTGGTTCTGGAGGAGCAGGTGGCCCTGCCCTGGGTCCGTTCTTACAGGCACTGACGCGCGTCCTTCTTTGCAGGGTGGTCCCTGTGGGGTTCTGGCAGCTGTCCAAGGCTGTGTCCTACAGAAACTCCTGTTTGAAGGAGATAGCGGAGCTGACTGTGCTCGGTAAGTCAGCGCTCATTCTGGCAATAGCTTCTCTTCCCAAGGCTTCTCCTCACTGTCCAGAAAAAATAAGCAAGGAAATGTGTGTTTGCTCCCTGATATTTCCCGTCTTCTGGAAAGGGGAAACGGTGGCTGGCTAACAGGGCCAGTGCTGAGCAGTTTAAATGACCTGCATGCCATTTGTTTCTAAGAGCAGGGAGGCTTGTTAAGTCCCGTGCCACATGGGAAGTGGCGGTTGGAACGGCACTGAAACTCAGGCCACCCCCTCCTCAGGAGGGAGCACAGCAACCACCAAATCCCATCTACACCCAGGTCAGCCTGCTGACCCCTCCACTGAGCCCAGGTCTCCCCTCCCTCCCCTCGTTCCCCCACCTCTGCTAACAGCCATCTCCACACGGTCCAGCCAGACCTGCAGGATGCAGTTTCCTCCCCTTGGCCATTCTGTCCCCACCTCACACGCTGAGTGTTTGCACACAGCCCTTCGTTCTCGTCCTTACTCCCTCCACAGACATTTCTGGAACATTCTCTCTGTGCGGATACCGGTGATTCAGAGAGGAATAGACGCATTCTCTGTTCTCCCGAGTGCTCTGTGAGGTTGAGGGATGGAGAGAAATCCATAATCCTACCTTGCGGTTGGTGCTCAGGTAGAAGGATTATCGAGGGGCTACCCAAGGCTGGGGCCAGCTCGGCTAGTTTGAGGAGGCAGCCCTCTTACCTTAAGCAGTAACTACGTGCCCAGTGGTACGGAGTCGCCCTCAGATTTACAGAACTTCTGGCACTTGTCTTTCTTTTTTAGTTCAGATCTAATATACATACAGAAGAGCACACAACTCAAAGAAGGATGCAACTCATGTACGTTCTGCTTAATGAATTATTGCAAAATCACACACCCATGAACACAGCACCCAGATCAGGGAAGAAAATATTTCCAGCTCCCTGGAAGCACCCTCCTGCCCAGTAGATACCTCCATTCTCTTCTCCAAAGTTGCGATTAAGCGGATTTGAAAATCACAGCTTAGTTTCGACAATTCCTGAACTTGAATTCAAGGGGCTTGCCTTTTTTTATTTTAAAGACAACAAGGCCCATCCCCCATTTATTCACGTTCAAATTCCTGGGAAAGACACTAGTTCCCCAGACATCCAGCCAAGCTTGTACAAAACGAAACACATTTTACCAGCTTAGAGGATGTGGCCTTAGACAGGATTCAAGTGAAGGTGGCTTTTCATGCTGGGCACTTCAGAATTTGTCCGATAATATGATTTGTCTAATTACTTTACAAAGTAACAGTCAAGGTGCTTGGTTTCAAGCTGAAAGATGCTAACCATAAGCATAGCGTAACTACAGCCGGAAGCCCAGCGACACAACATTTGCACAGCAAGGTCTGACCTTGTGCTGTTCTCCCCAGTGCCTGCTCTGGAGTCCAGTCCAGCAAAGCGCGGCCCACACAGTGAGCGTCCGATGGTCAGGGACGCTCCTGGCTGGCTGGTTGGCTGGGACTGGCTAAGCGAGGGACCTCTGGCTGCCTGCCCTCTAAGGGCGCAGGGACCCTCTCCGAGCACATATGCACCTCCACTCCTACCTTCCCTCCTTGCACTGGAGAGGGGCGCACGGGGAGGACTTAATAGGCGCTTGGAGGGCGTGCGGGCCTCAACAAGGCAGCTGTGGCCTTGCCCTCATGGCACCTACGACTGAACACGAGAGCCAGATGAACAGGAGGTCCCAGGGGGACGTGCAGGGAGCTCAGGGCCCACCCGGACGTGAAGAGGGTCAGGCAGGCTTGCTGGAGGAGTGACATTTTAATCTTACTGAGATCCGGAGGATGAGCAGGGCTCCTGACTGGCTTCGCACACACCCTCGCACAGGCTTGTTCCTCCCTCGATTTCTCCTTTCCCAGCAAATCCCTCGGCCTCCTTCCCTGGCTCCTCAGGCGCAGAGGCCATGGCCTCAGGGCCGCCTTCCCCGACCTCCCCAGACGCTGCCTGCAAGGCCCCCACCATTGGATGCCCTCTTTATCCAAGTCATTACCTGTCCACTGTCTGTGCGCCAGAACACAAGCCCCCTGAGAACAGGGGCCTTCCTAAGCTGCCTGGGCCGTAGCCAGTCCCTGGCATCCAGCCCCAGGCCTAGTGCACAGAAGAGGCCCTCAGAACTTTTGTTGAATGAACGCACGGGACAAACATGTGAGTTATCCAGACTGACTGGGAGGGAGGGGATAGTATTCCAGTAAGGAGAACAACATGTGCAGAGGCCTGAGGGCAGGGAGTGGCCAGGGCAGAGTGTAGGGGGCAGGGCGAGACCCGGGCCAGGCTGCCAGAGGGCCCTTGGGGCCCAGTGGCTTGCTCAGGTCAAGCCTTGGCCTTGGCCCTCGTGGGAGGTGTTTGATAATTCGTTTCAGCCCCCACGTCCGTTCAGAGCTGCTTTTGAACTTGGACTTTGGACTTCTTGGGGGAAGTTGTAGATTATTTCCCAGCAGTCAGGGAGGGGTGTATAAGTTGGTTCCCGGAAGGGCCGTTTCTGCCCAGGGCACAAGGCAGGCTTGGCTCCTTGTCGCCCGCCCTACAGTCCCGCTAAGGGGATGTGACAGCCTCTGGATCCCCAGGCACGTCCTTGGGAGAGAGTTCTGCTCGCCACACCTGAGAGGGGAGCTAGGGCTTGGAAGGCGGAAAGCCATTCAGGCTGGGGGCCCAAGACGGGCTCTGGGCAGAAAGAAAACTGTACCAGCTGTGGGAAGAAGAGTTGGGGCCAGCCTAGATTGAAGGCCCTCGGAGGCCGGGCTGGTGGGGCAGGAGGGGAGGAGGCTGGAAGGGGCTGCTGGCTGCTGGGAGCTATGTGTGGGGTGTGCCTGGTGGGAAGGAGCCCCGCTCTGGGGGAAGGCTGCCTGGGTGGGCCAGAGGAGGCCTGTGCCGAGCAGCCGGGAGAGCTCGGCCTGCTGGCCAGGCAGGGTCCCGCCCACGGGAAGCGCGGAAGGGTTCATGCTGCAGAAGAGTGACCTCACCTTTCTTTGGAGTCCCACAACCGTGGGTGCTCCTCGTAAGTCCCTCCCCTGTGGCACCTCCACGCCTGCGGCCCCAGGCCCTGCACCCAGAGCTGCTGTCCATGCAGACCGAGCGTAGTGGTCTGGCTTCCTGCTGGTGCTGGTGGCCGAGCAGGCCCAATAGTGGGCATTCTTCCCACCCATCCGAGAGGGAGGGGCGGAGAGCTTGGCCCAGTGACCCGGCTGCTCTCGCTGAAAGGGCCTCAGGGGACTCAGGGAGACCGGGCTCCGAGGGACCAGCTGGGGGAGGTCCCGGTGGTGATGGGCTGTGGGCAAGGAGTACCGGCTGCCTCCACACCCCCCATCCTATGTCTCCTCCTCTGGCTTCCGCTGCTGTGGACCTAGCTCTGCTGAGGCATGAGCCTGCCTCGGGGCTGGAGGCCGACTGGGGGCGAGAGGAGAGAGTCCTCCTGGGTTCAGGCTAGGACTTGGGTCAAGCAAAGGCCAGGGGAGTGAGTGGCCGGGGCCTGGGGCTGGCAGCCGAGGGGGGAGGTGAGAGCGGAGTCTGGTCGCCGTTTGCTGAGGTGAGGCCCTACAGGTTGGAGGCCACAGAAGGTCGTCCTTGCCAAGTGGGTGTCGGTGCAGCCTATAGGTGCCCGTGCTGAGGCTGTGGGGAGTGCCCAGCTCTGTGGTCCTTAGCTTGTCCCAGGATGGCGGTTGCTGAAGACAGCACTGGACCAGCCAGAGACCTGGATTACAGTTGTGGGCCAGCAAGGCCTCACTTTCTCCATTTGTGAATCTCTGTCCTGCCCAAGTCTGACTCAGTAAGGAAATGCAGACCAAATCCTTTGTAAATCAAGGGCTGTGCAAGTGGGTGGGACCTTGAGATCGCCTGCTGTGGTACATATGGGGAAACTGAGTCCCGGAGAGGGAAAGATGCTTGTCCAGGTTCACACCTGACCTCCGGGGCAGAGCCAAGCACGTCTGTCACACCACACCGTGCCCTAGAAGAGACTCTGAGCCCCAGGCGAGCCAGAGAGGCCGGGAGGGGCTGGTGCCGGGAGGCTGAGTGTCATGGGCTTGAAACACCCGAGGGCTGGACACCCACCCAGATGGACTCTCAGTGACCAAGGTGCAGCTCTTTAGGCTCTGTAGTTTACGAAGGGCTTCTAGGCAGAACCTCCCCATTTTTCCTAATTTGGGAAAAAAAAAAAAAATGAGAAGAGTACAGAAGAGTAATATGGCAAACCCCTGGGGACCTGCTGCCTCGTGTGAGTAAAGGATGACATTCGACATCCCTGCGGGAACCTCTCGCAGCCCGGCGCCTCTGGTTTCCTTGATTCATTTGTACGATCTTAATATTGATTGTTGGGGTCACTGATGTCGCTGCACAGGCTGGTGTGCTGAGCTGGGTTTGAGCCTTCAGTACTCCCTTTTGACTCTGAAATTCTAAGATTTCAGAAATGATCCGGTTTAAAAAAAAAAAAAGGAAGAAAAAAGCAGGAAAGCTCCTCTGTTCTCTTTAGGAGCACCGCGTTGGCCCTCATGTCACACAGAGGCGGCACCTGGAGCTGCTGAATGCTGGGCGCTTTGGGAGCTCCGGGACCAGGACCGGTGGGCCTTCCTGCACTGGGTCTGCAGGCCTGGGCGGGCGTGGCCCCCTGCCTGCCATCTCCCCGCACGAGGCTGAGTGTCATGAGCTTGAAACCCCCGAGGGCTGGACACCCAGATGGACTCCCAGTGACCAAGGTGCAGCTCTTTAGGCTCTGTAGTTTACGAAGCCGCACGAGGATGTGACTGCGGCCTCCAGGGAAATCATGCTGAAATAATGGCTTCTTGGCAGAGGTGGTGTTTTTTCTGCAGGACTGTCTGGCTTCATTAAGACTCATCCCATCAGGCCGGCAGCCGGCCTCTCCTCAACTGGGGACGGCAGAGCCGGGCGGCAGGGCTCGGTGTTTTTCCACTTGAGGAGGGCTGTGCCAGCCGGCTCGGCTCGTGGGAAGCGATGGTGAGCCTCGTTCCGCTGCGGGCTCGGGGAGCGCCACAGGCAAGGGAGCTGTCCTCTCGCCTCTACTTCCCTTTTCAACTGGGGAAGTCGAGGCCCAGAGAAGGAGGGGCACTTGCCCAAGGCCCCTCTGGACCCATTAGCGGAGCCAGGCTTGGAACCCAGGTCTGGTGGTCCCCAGGCCAGCTCTGGCAGAGTTTGACCCCGAAAGGGGGCAGAAAGGTCTGCAGTCACTCACCAGCTTCTGATCCTTCTATAGGCTCAGACTAGCGGGCACGTCAGGGTGGACTGGTGAGCCTGTTTTGAGTTAATGATGGTAGAAACATCTTTTTAATCTGGAAGACTTGGGTAATTAAGCCAAACACAGGATGTATTACTTCCTGACACCCATCGCCCACCCTTAGACAAATCCTGCACTTCTTCTGTGAGGTATTAGACTCTTTTAAAGAAACTTCTCTTGGTGCGAGAGCCCGGCCAGGTGCTAGATTCGCGGTAGGGGTTGGATAAGCGCGTGCGTGACTGATGAAGGAAGTACATGCAGGACCACCCTGGTCACCGAGGTGAAGGCAGACCCTGAGTTCCTTGGTGAAGGTGGAGGCCGGCGATTCACTGCAGCGCCTCCCTCCTCCCTCTTGTCATCCGCACGCACCCCAGCCCTGAATACCCTGTGGCCGGTTACCTGGCAGAAGGGCCGGGCTGGAATGATGCTTGGGGGCATCTGGCCCAGGGTCTGCATTTTGGACATTCATCTCCTTGGAATCACAACCCACGGTAGTGGACTCCGTCATCCCCAGAGCTTGTTTCCTGCCCCACCCCCATCCAGGTGACCGCCAGTCGTGTCAGTCCCACCTCCGGAGCACCCATGCCCATTCCCTTCCCGCCCCTGCCCAGGACTGGGGTGCCCTGCTCCTCAGCTGAGCTGTACGGCCAGGGCCCGACCAGCACTGCTGCTTCATCTTGCCCTCCCTCCTGTCCTCACTGTACATACTCACCACAGGCTCCTCCTACAGCACAGGTGTGACCAGGGCACTCCCCAGCTAGATCCCTCGACATGGGCAGGAGCGGGGCAAAGTTATGCCTGGATTGTATCCTCTGTCTAGAATGTCCGTGCTGGAACACCTCCAGACGGAGCTACCAGGTCACCTTGCAAACATTCACTATGGTCCACACTAACTTACTTAAGCGGGTAACGCTTGCCTGAACGCTTCTCAGCGCAGCCACAAGTAAGATGTTAAAAACCAACATATACTAAGTACTTATCGCATGCCAGGCACTGTTAGAAGCCCTTCACACGTATTACTTCATTAATCATTAAAACCACCCTGTGAAGGAGGTACTATTATTGTCCCCTTTTAAAAGGGGGAAACTGAGGCACGGAGACTAAATGATTCACCCAAGGTCACACAGTAAAAACTGGACAAAGTGAAACAGCAGTGAGGGAAGAAGGAGAGCGTGGCGAGGTGGAACCAGCCATCTGGAGCTCCTGGTGTTGGGGACCAGCATCCCTTTGCCTCTGAGCCCATCTTTCCTGTACCTGCAACACTATCAAGAGATCTGGCTCCTGGGCCCGGCCTATCTTCCAGGTCTCACAGGCTCTAATTTACAGACCCTCTGAACTTCCGTGTTTCTACACAAAAGTTCTCATTCTTTTCATTGGCTTCCATTTAGTCTCTCCATCCTTCCCTGTGTCTTCTCCAGCGTGCTCTTCCCTGCGTCAGCTCCAGACACAGCTTTCCAGAAAACGGTAGCACTGGGAGAAGTGCGGTGGTCGGGCCTGGGTTCCACTCCTGGCTCAAGGCCTTGGGGAAGCCCCTTGCCCTCGCTGGCCTTCGCCTCCACACCCGGATCCTTTCTCCTTTGTCCGATGAGCCCTGCTTTCCAGGCCCTCCTTGGTCCTTGGCAGCCTCTCCTGAATCCCAGAGCGATGTTTCCTCACCTTTTTTTTTTTTTTTTTTTTTTTTGCGGTACGCGGGCCTCTCACTGTTGCGGAGCACAGGCTCCGGACGCGCAGGCTCAGCCGCTCCGCGGCATGTGGGATCTTCCCAGACCGGGGCACGAACCCGTGTCCCCTGCATCGGCAGGCAGACTCTCAGCCACTGCGCCACCAGGGAAGCCCTGTTTCCTCACCTTTGTTTTCATAGTTGACAGTGGCCCAGGGCCAGTGCTTCCCGAATCTCAGGTGCCCGGTTTGCTGGTGGTGTGGTAGCTGTTTCCAGAGGAGCAGGCAGGCTTCCTGAGGCTGCAGACGGTACCAGGCAGTCTGCGTCTCATTGAGTTAGAAGCATTGCCTGGTGTCAGCGGCTTGTCGTCACTTTCACATCAGATATAGGGAGTTCACCATCCTGTGAACTCTCTGGCCACAGCCAAAGTGGGCACTTGACGTTTCCATAAAGACAACAGCAATGGTTACGCTTTACTGAGCATTCTCCACGTGCCAGGCACTGGGCCGTGGACCTTACACAGATCATCTCATTTAAAGCTCCCAACACGATGAAGGAGGTACTACTGCCCCAGCCAGTCTAGGGATGGGGAAACTGAGGGACCCTGTGTCACGTTGCCTACCACTTTAAAGTCACTGGACCACAACGGCCTAGGTGCAGACGGCTGGCTCTGTGGCCCACGGACTGGGCCGTGACCACATGCCGCCCACCATGGTGACCTGTGTTCTGGTCTCCAGGTTCTCCTCTCCTATCCTGGAGAGGAAGGACAAACACCAGTTTTCACCTGCTCCCCACCCAACAGCTCAGCCTAGAGCTTTGGGTACTTGGTGACTGAAAACATGGAAGCTCCCTCTACGTTGCTGGGAGCCCTGGCGTCAAGCCCCTTTTGTTTGTTAGGTAGTGAGACACTCAGACACTCAGCCTGCCTTGATAGGAATTTAAGAAAACTTCCCAGAATCCAGGGGTGGGCAAGAAGCACAGCTCTGTGGAGCCCTGGAGACGGAAAGAGCGTCTGTACGTGACTATTGCTTCTTCTGTCCTTCTCACGGACTTCATGCACTAAGGGCCTGGCCTCTTCGTTGCCGTTTTTATGGTAAGAGGTCTCTCTGCCTTTTTTTTTTTTTTTTTGCGGTTCGCGGGCCTCTCACTGTTGCGGCCTCTCCCGTTGCGGAGCACAGGCTCCGGACGCGCAGGCTCAGCGGCCATGGCTCACGGGCCCAGCCGCTCTGCGGCACGTGGGATCTTCCCGGACCGGGGCACGAACCCGTGTCCCCTGCATCGGCAGGCGGACTCTCAACCACTGCGCCACCAGGGAAGCCCCTCTCTGCCATTTTTGACACCACCGACTGCCTGTCCTTCTCCAGCCCTTTTGCTCCCAAGACTAACGGCCCATCTCCGAGCTCTGCCCTTCCTGCCTGCCTCCCCTGCCTCTCCCACGCGCTGGAGTTCCACGAGGCTCCAGCCTTGGCTGCCGCCTCTGCCCTCCTCATCCTCTCTCTGGGAAATCTTAGCCATGCAGGGTGCCGAGGACCCCTCACACGCTGCTGGTTCGTAAGCCTCTACTCAGCCCGAGCCGCTCTCCTGGGCTTTTAGAGCGACAGCTTCACCAGGGCATCCCACGTGCACCTCCAGCTGCGCACCGCCCCCCCCAGTCCCCGCCCCGTCGTCTCACGTGCACCTCCAGCTGCCCACGCCACCCCTCCCCCGTCCCCACCCACCGTGTTCCCCATTTCAGTTGGTGGCACCACCATGCACTCAGCAGAAGCCCAGCGTCATCCCGAATTCTCCCTTCCCCACGTCCCCACGCCCTATGTCCAAGTAACCGGAAAGTCAGGCTACTTTCCCCTCAGCACTCGTGGTCTGGTCTCCTGTCAGCTGGGGGAGCGCGGGGCACCTGCTTGCGTGAGCCGCTGTCTCCAGGGGCTTGGGCATCGGGGCTGGCCAAGGCTGGGCGGGGCAGGGCGGTGCCCCTGCCTGGGATGGCAGCAGTTCCGGGCTCAGTCCCCTGGGCTTTGTCAGAACCCGCAGCCTTTTCTCCCACCGCTCCAGGCCCTGCCGAGTCTCCAGAGGCCCATTCGCTCCCGTGGGTGATTTCCTCAGCCTGTTCCTCCTCCAGCCCCGCCAGGGCCCCTCCCTCACAGCTCTTCCCTTGGTCTTCATCTGCAGAGGCCCTCTTCCCAGGCTCTGCCCGAGCCCCTGGGCCGCAGGGCTCCGCTGGGCAGCAGAGGAGAGGGCAGGCCGTCTTCCACAGGGCTGCGCTGTCTCTGATGTCTGTCCCCATAGGCATAAACACACTTCCCTTTTTGTCCTCAGGCAGCTGCAGCCTTCAAACGCTCTTAGGACCCGCTGCCTGGCCCTGGCCATCGCGGACATTGTGTGGCGGGCTGGAGGCCACACGAGAGCCGTGGTGACGCTGTAAGTGCTTCCCTGGGCTGTGTTGCTACCACTCCACCTCGGGCGGGCACAGCTCCAGGCCAGCTGGCTGTGCGCTCTCCTGTCCTTGGGGAAATCATCGTCTCACACAGGCCGCCTGGGCCTGAGGACCGTGTCTGTGTCCTCCCAGACCCCTGCCCTGTGCTCCAGGCCAGGAGGAGCCCAGAGAGTTGACCTGATGTGCTGGGCAGCCCCACACCAGGGGAGGGCCAGCCCTCCACATGGCTCCGGTCGAGAGGGGTCAGATCTGGGGATCCCTCTCTGCAGGGGGTGCTGGCGGATGTAACCAGCCTGAGAAAACCCATGCCCCCATCCCCGGCCCCCCACCGGCAGCTTGCTCCCCTCTACGTTTCTCTGATCCGGAGGCCTCGGAAAGCAGCCTCTAGGTCGACCCAGTCATTTGTACTGCTCCCCCAAGTCCCCAAAGCACACTCCTGTTTGCTCTGTCACTTGGATCCCCGTTCCAGTGAGGAGACTCAGGGAGGTGAGAGATCAGCGGTGGAGCCAGCGCAGTCTTCTCTGCTACCTCTGTCCTACTGGTGGAGGATACCATCCTCGTAATCTATGTGGATGGTCTGCCGGCTTTTCAGCCTGACCCTTCAGAGTGGAAGCATCACGTCATCCCAGCTGTGTGGCTAAGCTTTAGTAAAGGGGGTGCCCTTTGGATACAAGGGCCACACCCTGGAAGGGGGCACAGTGGTCAGTAGAGCACAGAACTTAAGAGACTCCAAAGGCTGACCCCCAGTGCTGTTGCTTGTTGGCTCTGTGACCTTGACTAACCGAGTCGACTTCTCTGTGCCTAGCCTGTTTACTCACCTGGAAAATAGGGGTGATAGTAATGATTACTTAAAGGGGTGAATGTGGGAATTGAACAAGTTAACATAAATAAAATGGTATATAATGAATGATAATATCCATCAGTTTAAATAATTTATCCATATAAATTAGTGATAAGTAATAGTATGAAGCACTTAGAATAAGGTCTGGATCATACTAAGTATCGTGTCAGTGTTAGATATTATCATCATTATCACTATTGTTCTTATCGAGTGCTTGTCCTTGGTACCCATGTTCCAGGTAACTTACAAACCCTGGCCCTTAGGATCTGCATGGCAGCCTTGAGAGCATATGGGGCAAAAATTCAATCTCTCCTTACTTTACAGATTAGGAAACAGAAGCCCAGAGAGGGGCGGTGGCTGGTCCAAGGCTGCACAGCAGGCTAATGTCATAGTGGCCCCAAACCCAAATGCAGCTTCTAGTCCATGCCTTCCTGGGCTGCACATGCAGGTGCTGTGTAAACAGATGTCCTCCAAGAGGGCAGAGGCTGGACTTGCCTCAAGTCCCTAAAGACGAAGGGCAAGTGAGCATTCCTTAGTCTGGCAGCATGCTCGTCGGTGGGTGAGAGGCAGACCTCCTGCTACCAGGATTTGGGTTTGGTTATCCCGAGCTCTCCTTCGGCTGTCTTTTTTCCATCCCATATTAGCACCCGCACCTCTACCCCCTCCCGTTTAGTGGAGTTCTCCGGACCCGGCCTAGCGGGTGAGTTCAAAGCAGGGAAACGAGGTGCACTTGGCTCCCTTCTTTCCTTTGGGCCACCTTTTGGTTTGTCCTCATTGAGCAGCCCGTGTGGTTTTTGCCCTGGCTCTGGGGCATGTCTTCTCTCCACGCAGAGACTCATGCATCTCCCTTTCCTTTTTAGGGCTTCGAGAACACAGCAGTTCAGTCCAACCGGGAAATACAAAGCAGATGGAGTCTTAGAAACAGTACGGCTTTCTGGAAAATTATCACGCAACCTTTGGCTTTGTTTGGGGACAGTCTCCTTTCATATAAGTAAATCCTTCCTCAGTTGGGGATGGGCCAACCTTCCCTGTGGCCCAGGCCAGCAGAATCCTCCACCTGGGATTGGGGTGCGGGCAGAGGTGGGGGCCTTTGGGATGAGCTCTGGCCAGAACTGGCTTTATGGCCAAAAGTCCGATGGGCGCCCCGTCATGTTGAGCTTGTACAGAACCTGATGTCCCCCAGCGTTCGATGCACCATGCCTTTTGGCTAAACCCCAGCCTTTCCCGTGTCCCCCTTTATGTCATAGCATCCTCTCTGGGATTGCCATGAGAGGGTAGTGGGGGTGCAAGGGAGAGGAAGTTAGCAGAGAAGAGCTTTGATGGACGGAGCACCAGCTGGAAGGCCAGACCCAAGTAAGACAAAGGACAGGAGAGAAATGAGAGACGTGTGAAAATGTGGAAACTCTGAGACTCTCCCACAAATTAACCTCCTCTTCACTGAGGATTTTTGTTTTACTTAGCTTGTTCCCTTTGACCTTTTGGGCATGTGTGGCCCTGGGATCTTAATTAAGCATCTCACTTTGTTGGATGTTATCTGTGAAAGTGTTGTTTTCTGACCTGCATGAGAAAGCACAGGAGACGCATAACCACTGCTTTGCACTGAACTCAGGGCACCGCCTGCTGGGCTTAGAACAGGCCTGGTGATGGCGACCTGAGTGGGTCACCCACCCTGTACTCCCCTGTCCCCCGACCCTCCCCGCCCCCAAGGTGCTCCTCAGATATCTGTGACTAGCCTGCAGGGTGCAGCCCCGCCCGTCAGGGCCATCCATGCATGATGCTGGCTCTGTGGCTTTAGTTCCATGATGTCTCCAATCCTGGGGCCTCTAAAGGCAGGCCCAGTGTTGCTGCAGGGCGGGAGCCCCAGAGACCCCAGCTGGGCCCTGCAGCCTTTAAAATCACACACAGGTGTAGGAGTGCCTCTCCACCCCCGCTCCCGAGGTCGCCGCTCTCTGACTGCAGAGACATTCCCCAGTGGGGTCTTCCAGCTGCTGAAGTTAGGGCCACAGAAACTAATCCAGCATGGGGGACCGTCCACCGGGCTTGGGCAGTTCACCCTGTGTGTTTGTGTTTCCCAGCTCATACTCCACAGTTTGACCTGCTACGAGGAACTGGTGACTTTTCTTCAACAGAGCGTCCATCAGGTACGAACGATGGTTTAGTTTGTGGGATGTGCGTTGCTAAGCTTCTGCTTTCTTTGTGGGAGACATGCTAGTGAACTGGGGGTGTTCCCCGTTCATCCCCACCCTGGAGTAGTGGGGCGAAGTCGGCTGGAGAAGAGTGGGCTTGGGGGCAGAGGGTCTGACCTCTGCCACTATTTCCTGGAGGGCTGACCATGGCTACAGGTAAAGGGAGCCGCTGCAGCGGGGGCTGCGGAAGCAGGGAGGGAGCGGGGTCAGGCTGAAGGGGAGCAGCTATCAGACTGTGGTTATGAGAGCTTTCTCTCTGTCCGAGGGCAAGCAGCTACCTCTGCAGGTAAAGAATACTTCGTCAGTGAGTGGGGCTCAGCACCATCTGGGGAGGTGACTAGGACATGGGTTCCTGGGCTGGGTTGGAGGTCTGAGCACCGTTGATGGAGATCCTGATAGTAGAGGACCTTGCTTGGTGTCCTGGGAGGCAGGGCTGGGCCCGGAGGGGCCTCCGGAGCATCCTTTCTACTGGAGGAGAGCCGTGCACCTGCTCCAGGCTGTGAGATGGGGTGGAACCCAGCCAGGGCCTGGGAGCAGCCCATCAGAGGACTGAGGGAGTTCAGAGTTGGGCTGTAGCCTCGGGGCTTTGTGGAGGAGGTCGTTGAATGCTCCGGGGGTGGGTGAAGAGCATTGTCTCTGGAGCCCGTCAGCGTCAGTGGATGTTTGCATCTAGGTTACACCCCTTAGTAGCTCTGTGACCTTGGGCAACTTACTGGACCCCCCCGTGCCTCAGTTTCCTCCTGTGTACCATGTGGCTGATGACAACGGTGCCTGCCTCAGAGCGCTGTGCAAAGCGTTTGCCTGGAGCCACCGTGTCCTGCTCCGTGTTCTCGGGGGTCGTTAGCTTTTGTTGTGGGTGTTTCATCACCATGGTGATGATCACGTAAGGTAACCTTGAGATGGGTTAGTTGTAGACAGGTAGAGACGGGAGGGAAGCATGGCAGAGAGAAGCAGCCTTTCTGCGTCAGCCTGTCCCGCAGGTGCGTGGGAGGGGCTCTGATGTAGGAGGGGTCCTGGCCTTGGCGCTGGAAGTCCTGGGCTGGCTGTCACTTGTTCCCTGGCTTTCTCTGGTTCTTCATGAGCATAACCCAGTGGGCTGTCTATAGATGCAGCGTGCTCACCACCGGCTCAGGGCCATGGGGTGCCTGGAGCACAGGCCCCGGGACCTCCTTTGCCTTACTCCTTGGTCACAAGTGGCCTCAGGATAGTCACTGGGCTTCCGTGGCCTCGTCTGGAAAGTGGAAGATGGAGCAGTTAGTTAGCACCCTAACTTCCAGCTCTTTACCGTCCAACTGTGATTCTTAAAGAAGAACCTTAAATGCATGGGAAAGAATGTCTTCCAAATTAAGGACCAGGCAATTTAAATAAGCAGAAAGGACACCTTTTATTAAGCATACCAGAGCAGTGTGAGAATACAGCAACGCATCTGAGAGACGAGCAAACCCTGGCAGCATCAGTGTGCATTCAGGGAGGCCAGGACCCAGGGCACCTGTGTCCACACTGTCAGGTGACGCAGAGCTGGAGGAGGGAAGCCGTGTGGGGCAAAGGAGGGGCCCTGGGGTGATTGCTCACATGACACCAGGATCTGAGGCCCCATCATTGCCCCTGAGGCCCTGGGGTGGCCCTTCAGCACCAAAATCGTCTACATCCTTGTCTATAGATGGGGTCTCCCTCCTCCCTTGGCCTGTACCCACAGGGTTTCGATGAAGCCCGAGCAAGACAGTGAGTGTGAAAGAGGTTCTGAGAGTGGGACCCTTGCCAGGGGCGGGAGCCGCCTACTTCCTGCCACACCCCTGGGCTCAGAGCAATTTTCCCCCCTCTCCTGGCCTTGATCCCTGGGTACGAGCGGTCACCACTTGGCCCTCGCTCTGGAAGGTGTTGTTTTCTCCCTGCAGTTGAAATTCTGTTTTTGCTGGAAGCCGTTGAGCTGCCTCAGCACTACCCTCACCAAATTCATTTTTCATGGTCTGGGCCTAGGAGGGGTTCCTCGTGCCAGGCCTGGAAATGAACACTGAACCACGTCTGCCCAAAATAAACAGCCTCCTTGCTGTGTTTTCATTACCGCTCACCCTCCTGGTGAGATGTCTGGCTGCCGCCCCCTGCAAACTGGGGGATGCTCCCGCCCCTGCCTCTCACTGGGGTTCTTGGTGGACTCAGGTCTCTCCTGGGCCAGAGCAGCTCGGCGGAACGACCCCTTCTGCCCAAGCGGTACCAGACATTTTTCCAGACCCTGCTGGTGGGTTCTGGCTCGGTTGCCTGCCTGGACTCTCCTTTCAGTGCAGGCACTTCGCCCTGTGGCCTTCCATGGCTTGGCAGCTGGAATTTGATGAGATAATTTTATAATAATAAATGTTTTAAAAACAAAATGGGATATTGGTGCCATTCAGTCGTGTTCCATCCGGCAAGGGCCAGAGGCCCCAGGCGGGGATCATGTCCCTGCCCTCCGCAGTCTCACCTAACCTGTCCACATGCAGGGGCATATCCACGGCTCAGGATGAGGTCCCCTTGGATGTGTCCCAAGGACTGTGGAAAATGCTGGCCTGAGTATAATAATAGTTCTCCACGTTTACACAGACTCCTGGCTTACAGCGGGAGCCTGTGTTCCTTACTTCATTGCAGTCCCGCGAGTAGGAAGGCACGGCAGTGGGGGAGACAGACCCAGGAAGTGCCGTGGCCTCCCCAGGACAATGTGCAAGTCCAGGGCAGAAGTAGGTAGGCATTTCAGAAGGGGAAACTGAGACTGAGAGAGCTTTGTCACTCCTTGAGGCAACAGACAAGACTGTAGTAGAGCTGTGACAAGGGCACTGGTGGCCCGTAGTCCTCCCAGGCCTCTGTCCGCCTGCGCAGGGACATCAGCATTCCTCTTTGCAATTGTCAGAGCACTTCCACCGACCTGGCCTCATAGGACGTGCAGCGTAACCTAAGGAAACATGCAAGGGAGGTATTTGTTATCCTCATTTTGCAAATGGGAAACTGAGGACAACAGAAGTGAAGTGACTGGCCTGAGATCACAGAATTAAGGTGACATTGATTTAAGATTATTGTTGATTCATTCATTCCATTTCTGCTTCCAAAAAAAGATTTAAAGGTAATTATTAAAAAAAAATGATGTCCTCGGGGTTTTTTCTGTGCTCCAGCCATGGTAAACCTTCCCTCTCTTGCCTCTGGGCCTTTGCATGTACTTCTCCTCTCACCTGGAACAACGTTCCCTTTTCTGATTCCTCCTTGTCCCTTGGGCTTCTGTCTAGATATCGCTTCCTCCGGAAAGCCTTCCTTGACGCTCCCTCCTTCCCTAAGCCCTAAGTCTGCATTGAAGGCCCTTCCTGTGTGTGTTTCCAGGGAACCTTGTTTTTCCCATCAGTGCAGAGCCCCTTCCCCACTTTTTTCAAGTTGCTTATTATTCTCTCTTTCCTGAGTTACTTCTCGTGAGGGCAGATCCGTGTCCACCTTGTTCACAGGTATAGCTTTAGCAGGGAGCATCCTCTTGGCACAAAAAGGTCAGGCAGTAATTGTTTTTTCTTGAATGACTGATGAATTGAATTATTGGGTGAAAATAAAGACTATATACATATATAATATTTGGGAAATATAAATCTATATTTTTAATTGAAGTATATATAGTTCATTTACAATATTATATTAGTTGCAGGTGTACAACATAGTGAGTCAATATTTTTATAGATTATACTTCATTTAAAGTTATTATAAAATAATGACTGTATTTCCCTGTGCTGTATAATATGTCCGTGTTGCTTATTTATTTTATACATAATAGTTTGTGCCTCTTAATCCCTACCCCTATCCTGCCCCTCCCCCTTTCCCTCTCCCCACTGGTAACCACTGATTTGTTCCCTATATCTGTGAGTCTGTTTCTCTTTTGTTGTATTAATTCATTTGTTTTATTTTTTAGATTCCACATATAAGTGATAACATACAGTATTTGTCTTCCCTTGATACAGTCTATATTTTGAGGAAAAGAAAAGATAATTCTATCAGAAGTTTGAGCTAAAATAGTTTGAACATCATAGTTGGCTCTGAGCTTCCTGGCAGCCAAGGCAAAATGGCAATATGATAAGTTATATGATTCTCATTGTTTCAGGAAAGTAAGCTTTCTTTTTTTTAAGTTCAAAAAGAAACTGATCACCCCATAAGGAACACTGACTATTGTAACAGGTAGCATCTTCATCACCAATTCCAAAAGTGGAATTGTTGTCCCGTAGTGGGATGAGTAAGGCCTTCTCACTCATTTGCAGTCGGGAGACAGTGTTCCTTCAGGAAGCAGAAATGACATAGTCCATCCCATTAATCCGTGGCCTGCTGGGCTCACTGGACACGTGGGCAGTGAGGACCCAGCATCATACTAACAGCTAACACAGGTGTCAGGCCCTGTTTGAAGTGCTTTACAAGGATGATCTCACTTAATCTTCACAACAACCTCATGAGGATGGGTCCGATTTTTATTGTCTTTGTTTTACAGATGAGGAGATGGGGCAGAGAAGTTAAGAAATGTCCCCGTGGTCACATAGCTAGGAGTGGCAGAGCCGGGATGTAAACCCAGGCAGCCAGGCCCCCAGGTTCTGGGCTCCAAACCAGGGTCAAGACTAGGGGAAGATGGGAAGACGAGTGGGGCGCTCCCCAAATTCAAAGGGGTCCCCCCAACCTCAGTAAGCAGCATAAATAATATTTTAGTGCAATAGTTTAAAACTATTAAAATTAATCTCAGACAATCCACAATGAACAAAGAAATTTGAAACGATGGGATCTGCTCTTGCACTTGCCATGCTCACCTCACTGGCACCTCCCCACCCGATTCTCCTCCAACCTGCTCTCTGCTACTCTCTGCCCAGTGCAGTTCTTAGGATCCCTTAGGAGTTAGGGATTTGGAATCAGATGGAGTCCCCTGGATACCCATTGGGCTGCTTGCAAGTTGTGTGACCTTGGGCCAGTCACTCAATTTCTGAGCCCCAGTTTCCTCACATGGCAGAGGGCAGTAATAACAGTATTTATAGCACAGGCCCGGGATAGTTTTAAATGTGATAATGAGAGAAGACGCTTGCACGGTAGTGGAGGCTGCCCCAGGCCACTGCTGTCCGTGAACTTCTGGGGCTCGGAGGTCGTGGGCTGTTCCTCGGCGGGCACTGCATCTGCTCCATTGTCACTCAGGCTGGTGTGCCCCTCGTCCCTTAGGGAGTCTGGTTAGTGAGACCTGCATGGGATTGGCCATGGGGCTACCCGGCGACCTCTGGGACCTGGCTGGAAGCAGCTGGCTCGGGGTCAGGCTGCTCCCTGGGTCGTGGTCCCCAAGGAAGTGACAGGAGGGAGGTGCACACACTTGCTGGGTTCTCATTCCTCTCTCCTCTTCCCAGTTTGAAGCAGGCCCCTATGGATGTGTCCTGCTCACCCTGTCGGCCATCCTGTCCAGGTCCACAGAGCTGTGAGTATCTTCCTCATTCATTTCCAGGAGCCGGGCTTGTCTGTCTGGTTCACTGCTGCCTCCCCAGAGCCCAGGGCAGAGCTGGGCACGCAGTGGGTGCGTAGTGAGCATGGATGAATGAAGCAGTGGGCTAGGGGCAGCTGGCTGGACAGAGGAGAGAGAACAGTTACATTCTTTGTACATGTGTGTTCAGTGCTACCTCCTCCTCCGTCTCCCCACATGTGCTGGGGAGTGCGTGGGATCCGGATCCAAAAGACGCCCCAAAGAGCTTACAGCCTCCCTGGTGTCCCAGCGGCACTGCAGTGGGCGCGTACTTGAGCACACACGTGGACTCCCCCGAGACATGTGCGGGGACATAAGAACTGGGAGATGACTGAGGGCCCTGTGAACTTGCTGTAGGCCAAGGCAGTCCCGAAGGCTTCAAGGTTCGTGTCTAGGGCCAACCCTGAGGGGCTGAGTGTGCCCCGGGGCCTTGGAGGCCGGGGGAGCAGGGAGGCTGGGTCCCCGGCTTGGACTCCATGCATCCTTATCAAACGTGGCCTCCCGGGCTGCCCGAGAACTGGAGTTCCGCCACCACCCTCCTTCCCTAGGAGCCTTCTAGGCCTCTTTTCTGTACTTGTCACCTGGGCATTATGTCACTAGGGAGGGGAGCACATTAACAGCACATTAATAGGTTTGTAAAGTACAATCGATCACCCCATCCACTTCCCAGCAGAGCGCAGACCCCAGAGGGCGTGGAGACCTGGGGGAATGAATTTGCACTTTGCAGGAGTGCGTGGTGTTGGGGAAGATTTGGGAACAGCTCTGAGCAGGCGGGCCCTGGGGACTGGGCAGGCGGAAAGAGTAGCCATGGGGAGCCCAGGCTGGGGAGGCCCGGCAGAAGGAGACGCTCGCCCCCCACTCCTGGTCCTGGGCGGGCCCTGTCCGAGTTCCCCGTGGCCTCTGGTGCGGGTGGGAGGAGGAGGGCAGGGGCTCTGCAGCCTCGTGCTGCTAGCCTGCCTGCTGCTCGCTGCTCCTGACCTTATTAAATGCATGTGTGTGCACTTTCTGATGGCATTTTCCTTCTAATCCTGCCATAATGATATGATTCATTCCTGGCCGGGCTCACGTGCACGGGCGACCGTAAGCCGCCCTGCCTTCTCCCCAGGCCTGGGTTTGCTAATCCCTGGGCTGACGGGTGTGTGGGTGAGACCCTTGAGCTCCCTGAGGGGAAGCTGAGCTCTCAGGAGGGCCAGGCCCTTTTGCAGTCCTCTTGGCCTCAGTTTCCCCATCTGTATGGGGGCTCCTTGGCTCTGAGGGTCAAGGTCTCTGTGCTCAGTGTGTCTGCTCTAGGTGCCACGGGGCTTGCCAGCCTGGGGGCCGGGCACCCTGTTCACATGCACACTCCTTAGGGAGCTGCTCTGGCAGCCCTGCCCACCTGAGGGGCCTCCGGGGCCCCATGTCCAGGCTGTGCTTCACGTTGTCCAGAGCTGGAGCACTGGGGCTGTTTCTGCCACCTCCCCGTCCCGTCCAACCAAGCCACGCAGGGGTCAGTCCCTGCCTAGGTCGTGGCACCTGTGGGGCATCTGTGTCGGGGGGGCTACCTCGCTGGACCTGCGCAGCCTCGTGCCCCTGGGCCTGAAGAGTCACAGTGCGGCCATGCCCCTCCCCCTCCACCAGTCACAGACACACACACACACCGAGACACACAGATACACACAGACAGACACACGGGCACAAAGAGACATACACAGACACAGAAAGAGACATACACAGACACACAGATATACACAGAGACACATGGATACACACAGACACACACAACGCTGTGGGGGTCCCCTCCTTCCCCTTGTCCCCAGAGAGAGTACATAAAGACAGTCTCTCCTGCTTAGGGCCCCCGAGGACCTTCCCTGGGTCCTGGAGGCCAGTGGTTCCGAAGCCTCCCAGGGCAGCTATGGGCAGCCTGGCCCCGGCAGTGCTTTGGTGGGAGTTGTCTTACTCCTGTGGCCTCCCTTTCCCTCCTTCTAAGAAGACAGCATAGAGAACATTCTTATCGGCAGTAAGAAGGAAAGCAAGCAGCATCTAGCAAGCTTCCTGTGTGCCAGAGCCTTTGCTGTAGCATTTTACACGGGACGCATATAATCCCCGCGGCTACCCTGTTAGGGGTCACTGTTGCGATCACCATCACCATCTCTGTCTTTCAGGTGAGGAGGTGAGGCTCTGAGAGGCAAGTGACTTGCCCCAAAGTCACACAGCTCAACCCAGGCAGCCTGGTCCCAGATGGGGTTCTCTGGGTTTGCTGTTTAAGGACCTGAACTTGGGAATAAAACAGACTTGGTTTCAGGCCTGACTCCAAACTCCTTTGAGCTTGAGTTTCTTACTCTGTAAAATGAGGATGATAATTCCTGCCTCACAAGATTAAACGAAGAAATACATGTGGTGTGCTTGGCAGGGCTCTGGGCGGGTGGCGGGCCTCGGATAGCGGCCGCTGATGGTCCCATCCTCTCCCAGCTGTTCTCAGGAGCCTCCTGTGGCCCGTGCTGTCCTGTCTTGCCCTCAGTCTTGGCTTGGTGCCTCGTGGTGGAGACATGGCCACAGGGACGTCCTGCAGTGGGTGATGGGTCCTCCCTGGTGCCAGGAGACCGCTCTTAGGGGGAAGCCCCAGTTCCGCAAACACAGCTTAAAAACCACAGGACCAGGCGATCCCAAGGGCCTTCCTGCTCTGGGGTCCAGTTTTAGCTTTGCTGAACCCTTTGATACCATTTCAGGGTGATCCTGTGCTACTTTGGGCAGTGGAACACATGACCTGGTAGCCCAAAAAAGAGAGCAAGTCTCTCAAATCATATGCTGTTCGGCCAGGAGAAGTGGAGCTGGGGGAGGAGGGGCTGGGAAACGCAGCCGAACAGTGTGAGTATGTGTGCGTTTGTGGCAGGGCGCGTGTGGACGGGAGATGGGTGAGTCTGAGGGGCTGGGTGTGAGATGATGTGGGTTTTGGTGGTTGTGTCTGAGATTGTGCGAAGGGTGACTTGATTGTGTGTGTGCGGGAGTGTGAGTCTGACTGAGCGCATGGCCGTCCCTTCCTCCTAGCAAGGCTCTGAGACGCATGCCTGAGGCCCAGGGGCAGCTGTCACAACAGAGTCCTTGCCTCGTGTCCACGGGCTGTCCCCAGCCCTGGGTGGAGCCAGGGTGAGGGCGCCATGGGCAGACACAAATGCAGCAGGGTGCAGCCTGGACACTTCACCCTCAGAGGCTGAAAGAACAGTGGCAAAGCTGGCCTTTGAGTTTTGCTTACCCCAGGCTGAGTGCAAAGGCTTGAGAAGGTTTCATTATTTTCTGCTTGATTGCAAGCCATCTATTTTCTTTCCTAAGATCTCGAATTGCTTACAGTAAATCTCATACAGGCTTTCATGTTCTCCTAGTTCCCCTGCTTTCCAAACCGCATGGCCCAGAACTTTCCCCAGCGCATTCTCACGAGCCCCAAGGATGCCCAAGTATCTGGGGTCAAGGCCAGCTCCCAGCCAGCCCTGCACAGCGCACTGCAGGGGTGGGCCAGCCCCTCGGCACAGGGGAGGGCTCGGGCGCTGCCCCCCACCGCCACCCCGGGTGACTTAGGCCTGGGCGGCGAGAGGAGACAGCTCGTGAAGAAGACCTTTTCATTCAGTAGACCTTTGGCATTCATTACAGTGGCAACTTTGGGTGCCCAAGGGCAATCTTGAAAGTCCAAAATAGGCGGTACTTTGTCATTTGCCGAAGTGGAAGTGATTTTCGAGCAGCACAAGCCAGGCGCTGGGGGCGTGAAGAAGCCTCCACACCACGTGGCTCTGTGTTCTTTGTAACCATCTCCAGCAGAGGGAAAACAGCAACACAGTGAAACAGCCTTGAACTGAAACCCAGCCGTGAGTGTCGGTCAGGCGAAGGCAAGTGACGGAAGCACAGTTCTTAGCCGGCGTAAGCAGAAAACAATGCAATTAATGGATTCATATCAAAAGCCCGGGGCTTTGGGAGTGGCTGGGTCCAGGAACGCAGACAGTGTCTTTGGGACTTGGTGTCCCCCATTCTGTCTCTTCTCTCTTCTTTCCTCTGTCTCTGTCATGTTCTCGGGGGAGCCTCCTGCATGGCGGGCTCCAGGGACCCTTTTCTTGGGCTGCCGCTGTTCCTGATGCCTCATGGTGGCCAGGCCCAGGCTGCAGCCATTGTGGGGCAGGTGAGGCTCAGGGGCTCCCCCGGAAGGTGGTCAAAACCCCCAGGGACCCACCACACTGGCTGGGGAAGGGCCGGGCTGCGTAGTCAGGAACTGGAGGTATGAGACATATCAAGGAGCCGAGAGCAGGCCTGAACTCGGGGGTGAGTCAGATCTGGGCCTGACGGAGGCCCTGCAGGCCACTCTCAGAAGCGGAGAGAAGCAGTGACGAAGCTCCCAGTGCACCTCAGGGAGGCTGGGCGGGCCAGTGGATGGCAGCGTAAGGGTTCGAGCAGGGGGCTGTTCAGGTTGAGAAGCCCAGGTTTGGGGTGGCCCTAGCTGTGCTGTGCTGGGGGGAGGAGAAGATAGGAGACTTGTCAGCGTTCTCCTCCACCGTCCTGTCGCACCCCCTAAACTCTCCCAGCCCAGGATGGGAGGTGCACACAGAACTGCCCAGGCCGGGTACCCTGGCTCGATAGGGACAACAACTGCTTTGTAGCCCCGAACGGAGCCTGGCCTTTCTCCCGTGGGTCTTCCAGGTGGGACGCGGGAGACCGGGCAGGATGGTAAATGGCCCTCCCTCCCGACATGCCAGGCTCTTTGGACTATAGCTGGGAAACAGGAGGAGAGGAACTTTCTCAATGAACTCCAAGTCACCTGTAACCTGGACTCGGATTCTGGTGGAGGCCGTGCTAGTGAGCGCTTTCAGCAGACGTGTCTGAGGAGGCCGTGGTGGTGGGTGGGAGGCAGACCCAAAGGGCTTGCTGGTACCTTTGTCATCGGAAGCAGCACATGCTCCACCCAGACCCCACTTCCTTCGACTGACCTTCCTTCCTCGCCC